AGAGAGAGAGAGAGAGAGAGAGAGAGAGAGAGAGAGAGAGAGAGAGAGAGAGAGAGAGAGAGACGGAGAGACATTCGTTAAACTTTTTCCCCTGTGGCAGATATATCCGTTACATATTATTGTCTGTGGCGCATACATCCAGTACATATTCTCGCCTGTGGCAGATAAATCTGCTATATATTCTTTCGAAATGAGATGTCCGAGCCTGTGGCGGGTACATCCGCTACATATGTCTAATATATATACTCGCCTGTGGCGGATACATCTGCTACATATTCTTTCAAAATGAGAACATGACAGAGAGATGTGTTCGAGTAATGCATAACTCAGGAACCACATACAAATGTCCCCATACACATCTGCAATGACAGACACCTCAACTGGAAATACATCTAATTGCTGGAATGTCAAAATCCGGAAAGCGAAAAGGCGGGCGAAATACCCGTGCAAGAAAGGAAGCGAACATCAACATGAATATCCCACAAAGCGACCCATCAACCTCGCAAATAAAGTGACACCTAATATCTGAAGAAGAGCAATATACAAGAATTCTCAAATAGCACAAGGGATYTCTGATCCTATAGGCCGGATACATCCGCTACACAATCCCAACCTGGAGAASTGRCCACACKTACTCAAACTTGTCTYTGATCCTATAGGCCGGATACATCCGCTACACAATCCCAACCTGGAGAACTGGCCACACGTACTCAAACTTGTCGTAAACTTTCAAGGCTACTTTTGAAAGAATTCTCAAATAGCACAAGGGATTTATAATCCTATAGGCCGGATACATCCGCTGCACAATCCCGACTCGGAGAACTCACAACACATACTCAAACTTGTCCTACAGAACATATGATCAATGCCATTTTGCATCTGATTGCTGGAATGTCAAAATTCGAAAAGCGGAAAGGCGGGCGCAAACCCCGCACAAGAAAGGAAGCGAACATCAACATGAACACCCCACAACTCGAGCCATCAACCTGCCTAGGCACTCCCTTAACGAGCACTTCAAATCTCATGTTATTGTACCTTTTGRGCAACCCTCGCRCGRTTGCCTCTTTATTCAGATAGTCCACAACCGCCTTAAATGCACTAGAAGCGAATGRCGCGTCACAGACCGGGTTATAAAACGAATYGACGAAGTTTACAACGTGCTTTCTGAAATCTACTGAAAGAAGGACCCAGTGTTCGCAATCCTTATGAATGGGGATGAGCAATATATCGTATTCGAAAAGAAGGACATTTTGCGTCCACCTGCTGATCCCTCTAAAACCTTGCGGCTGCAACTTCGTAAAGAAAAAGGAAAGGGAGTTATACACTTTGAACGAAGATCGACAACAGTCCCTGGTGAGGTGAGCTAAGTAAAAATTCACGACCTCGTCGTTAAGCTCGCCGCCTCTATCCAATAATGTCACCATGTCTTTTACCCTAACCACCAAATTGTCAGCCGGGAGCCGAGCAATAACCATCATCGACGGTAGGCAACACCGAACAAGTTTGTCCATCAACTTGGACGACTCTTCCTGATTTCCTCCAATGCCTGGCATGCATACGTCTGTTGCACAGTCCAACCAAGCAACACGCATGAGCATGAGACGGATGACACCCTAACTGTTCGAGTCGTTCGGTTCTTTGCTTTGCGCTTTTAAATTATTATAAATTTGAACCCCTCTACTTGTACTCCTAGAAAAGTATGGTGCGGTTCCAGGAAGCGGAGAAATGGCGCATTTCTTGCAAACTTTGATGTGCAACTTCGCAAATGTGTCAGAACTCATACCCGCCGCTTCTACAATCTGAAAATCCCTTCTCGACAATCGCGGCATATTCGTCTTTGTGAGAGACTCTTCCGAGTTTCTCCACACGACACATGAAGGAGATGGCCGACCTGTACAACAAGTAAAGAAAAGGAGATTATGAATATAACATATTGCCGCATTGCACAACCAACGGGCAACCAGCAATTACCCACATATCCAAACATATCGTCGCTCGCTACATCGAAAAGTAAACTCCAGATGCTCATACAGTAGTGGGACCCAAACACTCATGTAAGTGAATTAACTCTAAGTGCTCATACACTACGTAGACCCAAATGTGAGCAACACATGCCACTGCTTACCAGCCATGGTTTCGTGCTGGAGATGTTCCTTAGTATTCTTCTCGTCTAGAACTTTCGGTTGTGGCAAGTTTTTTTTCAGACATGTCGAGCTTAGACCCAATACGAACTCTTCAGTCTGCGCCGATGCCATAATGCGATCTAACTGGGATGGAAGTCGGAACAAGTCCTTAATGTCCGCATCGATGAGGCAAACAACTTTTTCCGGAGCATCGGGGCACAACTCTAAAGGACGACCAGCTGTCCCACCACTCCCACGGATGGCAAAAACTTCATCTTGAGGAGTCAATAATTGTGAAGAGGGAGATATGACAATGGGGGAATTGTGGAAGAGTGTCTTGACAAGATCATCTTCGATCGGACGACGGACAGACAACTCTTCCACTTCGAGCATGGTGACGTCCTCGTCCTCATTGCAGTCGCCCGACACGACTGTGGCCATATGGATTTTGGAGGGCCGTATGTCAGGAAACCCTGAACATAACTGCAAGACATACTTGCCCTGGGAACCGCCACAACGTGTATCAGGTGGTGGAGTCACCTGGTCTTCCACATCCACGGCAAGGGTGTTATCCTTGCTACGTGGCTGCTCCATCGAGGAGCCGATAGATCCGCCGCTGGTGGAAACGGGTCTGACAACTAACTCCTCCTTCTGCTCTGCACTGACACGAAGCCCTGGACGGCGGATACATCCGGCGCCAGCTAAAAAAACTCCATCACGCAGCCCGCGCCCCTTGTATGACCCGTGTGCATGTTCCTCCGGTGCATTTGTCAGAGGGACATGTCTGCCCTCGGAACCACCGTAATGTGTGTCAAAGGGTGCAGTCTCCTGGTCTTCCATACCCAGGGCAAGGATGTCGTCGGTGCTGCTGAGTTGATGTGTCGAGGAGCGGATATATCCGCCACCGGCTGAAATGCTTCCGACAGCTAAGTCCTCATTCTGCTCCACACTGACGCGCCCGCTTGGATGGCGGATACATCCGGGGCTGGCAGAAAAAAGGCCAACCTGCCCCTTATCCACCTCAGACCCAGTTGCACAAGGACTCGCAAGAGAATCTGTCCTTCTGGGGGAGTATGATCCGCCTACAGTTTCTTCCACCACATTCTCTCCACGAAGGAAAGTGGCATCCGTAACAACTTCGCACTTCCGAGTGTCGCGTCCTGGATCCTTGGTGGAAGCCACGTCAACCGACTCCGCATCTGCCATGAAATTCGATCCGGTAGAAACTGTACCGCGGATACATCCGCTGCCGGGAAATGAGCGATTTCCTTGCCCAACGACTTTAGCACCGAGCGGATACATTGTCGGCGGTGGAGATTCAACCTGCGGTGATCCCTGCCCAGTTTGTCAGCTCGCACCTTCTACTGAAGCCATGACACCTATTCCACCATCGGTCGTGACTGTGCCGCGGATACATCCGCTGCCGGGAAATGAGCCATGTACTTGCCCAACGAGTTGAGCAGCTTGCAGCGCATGGGTCGGCAGTGGAGATTCAACCTGCGGTGATCCCTGCCCAGTTTGTGAGCTCACACCTTCTACTGAAGCCATAGCACCCTTACCGCTTGCGATCGTGACCCCTCCCGGGCTCGTAGCATTTCCGCGCCGTGCGCCGCCCCCTCTGTTGTCACCCGTAACCGCCGCCGCGGGTCGTCCGTAACCGCCGCCGCAGGTTCTATCCTCACCTCCTTCGTCCCCTCCTTCGTCATCTCCTCCACGGCCGCCCCGTCCAGCTCCCTCTCCTCGTGTTGGGGCAGGCGGCGGAATATGCCAGTCAATTTTGCTTTCATAACTTGGACTTGTTTCGAGGTAATAAAAGTCACGACAGAGCTCCAACATGTTGTGCTCCTGAAGAATCTCGAATGTCTGCTCTCCGAACATTCTGACSACAAGGTCGTCTGGTTGACGACARTTTACCTCTGCGACATGGTCGATAACCGCTTGGAGGGCGGCCTCTTCAAATACCTTTTTGGACAAACRGGGTTCTGATTTCCATTCGCCCTTATCATTGAACGCCATAACCCATTCGCCATCAAGAACTGCCGGTTGGAAAATGTCTGGATGCCAAATTACATGGTGACCCCAATCGGACTCGKCGGTACTCCTGTGCGTCRTCMCGAAGAAATAGAGTTGACCTTTCTGCAACCTCAATGTGTGCGTCGGCGGAAGAGGACGTCCAGGCTTGACAGTGGGGCTCAGAGGTTTGCTTCTCATGGAGGAAAGAAATACTCTTGAAAACCCGAGGTTGGCGTTGCGACAGGAATGGCGACAGCAGTGACGACAGTCGAACTCGCAGCATGCTTGGAACTGGAAGGCATTGAAGAGGACGCCATACCTGCAGTATATTTCTGATATACCGTCTCTAAATCCAAAGGCTCCTCACCCTCGCTGACTTCTTCCTCATCGTTTGCGTTGAAATTGTCCTCTTCAGTGAACTGAGCCTTGTAATAATTTAATGTAAGTTCCACCTTGCCATTGTCGAAATAACATTCCTCAAGTTTCTCCACGAAGTTGGCCGCAGCCTCCCTAGAAGCACCATGAAAGCCATCCAATGCACCAATCACGACATCTCGGCGGCACTTGTAGTCGTCCTCGAATCTTAGTTTCGGTCTTGTGTCGAGGAACAGAAACTTGTATACATTCGCCCTTTTCTCAGCTGACAGCTTGAGCCACATGTTCCTGTGTGGATCATGGTCGACCTCTTTCTGCACTTGGTAGAATTCACAGTTGTCCACACCCGTGTGCACCTCGTGCGCAACAAATGTCATCAAGAAGTTGAGGAGCTTTGTGTCTCCCTCGATGGCCACAACATGGCGCCCGCTTTTGAGGAGATGCCACACAACCTGGGCGTGTGCTTTGCCGATGAACATAACTGCATTCTCGACTGGGCAGAAGAACTCCATGTGACCCGATAACATACCCGGGTTGCGCTCCATTTTCTTATAGACGAACCCCTTCAGGTGGTGCACGCCTGCCGATGCATACGTCGTGGCCGTGAACTGTGTTTCGGCAATGTCCGAGGGTGTCACCTTTTGCCTTTTCCCAAGAGCTGCAGCGTCATCGTTCGGCAATCGTCCCTCATATGTCGGCGGGGTGTTAAGCTTCAGATCATCCCCGTGGAAAAAAACAAACATCCTGTCCTCGTCGGCCCACACACTGTTCCCGATTTGGTAGTGCTTCTTAACTTGACTCCTCCAAACCCATTTTCCTGCACAACCATTCGTGACAAGAAGAATGTGGAGAAGACCCATGAAGGAAAGGTCCCACTGCCTGGGAACAAAAGCAATTAAAGTCCAAAAATCAGGACACACAGCTTCAAGGAATGCCGCCAATGATCGGAAAGCCTCGTCATTCCAACGTGGTCGGTCGACGGGATCGCAAAAGTCAATGATGCAAGTGTGGCATCGCAGCTGCGTCACAACTTTCCTCATCTCATCTTTTCTTAGAAAAGCCGTGAAGGCGTCGTAAGCAAATGGTGCGAGGGTTGTCACTTGCTTGGTTTGCTTCCATTTGATGGTGGTGCATTCTCCCAGTGCTTGCGGCCCCTCTTCTGTCTTGCCACGTTCGCCTTTAAGCACGGACAACACAACCCGCTTCCATTCAATAGGAAACTTCTCGTGATTAACCAACTTCATCGTTGCCGCCACGTCCTTATCACTCGGACAGCCGAGATACTGGGGGCATTCCTTGAGGTACGAGTGATATGTGACCCATTTCTTGCAGCCCGCCCACAATTTCTCGTCCAGTCCCTTGGAGGCGTACTCTGCCATCAATTGCTCCTTTGTCCGAAAAAAGGAGGCATTCCAATCATCGTTGTCGCGGCCCTCATGCTGGAATTGCACAATATGCCACAGCCGGAGCAACATCCGATCTTGCTTGACCATTTCACAAGCATCTTTCATCCCAACCTTTCCCTGCTCAATCAGCTTCTTGCTTCCTTGCTGCACCCAGACAATATCCAAGTCCAGCAACCCTCGCAGGATCTGACGTTTCTCCGCGTCTGTAAAATCCCCCAAGTCTTTCCAACAATGCACGTCGGGTTCATTCACCTGGACGAAAAAGTCGAGGTCCTCCTGTTTCCTTTTCTTCTTGCCTTTCCGCATCTCCGGATCAGTCACACGCACATTATACAGAACTCTCTTATGGCCAAGGTTGTCCCTTCTCCCACTCGTCGTAGAATTTCATGTCAAGCATCCACGTTTCATCGTTCGTCATCACTAGAGGTAAGTAGTACCTCAGTCTCTCCGTCCATTCCTTTCTCTTTGATTTCTCATCAGCCAACCCCCAAAGGTTGAAGTAAGGCGTTTTCCTCAAGGCGGCTTTCTGAAACTCTTCATATTTACTGACCAAATCCTTCTTGAACTTTATATTGCCGGAGACAGCACAAGGACGCTTCAAGTTATTCCACTCCTGACGAATGTCTATCATTGACAGCCGCTGAGCCCGAGGAGGGGCTAACTTGTCCTTCCTATTCTCGTTCACGCTTATCTGCGTATAACCGTCAAAGTCCTCGTCGGCGAAGTACAAAGGCTTGAAGGGCCAGTCGTAGAAGGTATGTTTCTCCCAAATCTCGTGGTTTCTCAACTCCAGCGCAACCTTGACATTGTGTTGCCCGCTGACAGCGTAGTACCAGTGTTCGTTCGGGTTCTCCACATTGAATTTGTCCGGGGTCACACGAACAACCTTCCGTCCGGGGCTAGGAAGCCCTGCGATTGGCGCCAATTTCAAAATTGGCTTCTCGTACGTCTTTCCTTTCTTCTTGAAGGCATCCATCATAGACCGCAATATATATGTCGTGTGTGTTGGGTCGATCGAACGATGATTGTACGGCCTTTCCCACGCCGGCAACTGCAATACCCTCTCCGGGTTGATAGAAAGAGTGACATCTTTCTTTATACCCTCTTTCCATTCCAGAAAGTACCCGGCGTCCAGATCGACAACCTTTTCCTTGTCGTCCTCACTGTCATTTTCATCTGCTCCTGCCCGCTTGCCTTTCGATGACCCTTCCCCCGATCCACCTCCCCGTCTCGCCTTCGGTGTTTCCGGGTTCTTTCCCGCCGATTTTCTTTTCTTGTCAGATGTCTGGCGAGGGGTACTTGTTCTCCTTTTCTTCTGTGAAGATAAACGAGGGGTGTCTTCGTCTCCAGCCCCCTCGCTGCCAGATTCTTTTCCACTTCTCTTTTCTCCCACCGCAAAAGGTCGTTTACCCGTCTCCCCAACCCTTTGCTGCTCCGCAACCACAGGATGTCCAATAGTAGTACTAACTCTAGTCGTCTTCGCCCTAGTCGACGGCTCATCTGTAGCACTTACTGGAGCCTCAGCCATGTCGGCGACCTCTCCCTCGTGGGGCGACGGCTCATTTATAGCACTTACTGGAGCCAGAGCCACCTCGGCGACCGCCCCCTCCACATGTCTGCGTTCGACAGCTTCACCTTCTGGCTCGGATTCTTCATAAGCATCTGAGGGGTCTTGCTGCTCAGGAACGTAGTTAGGGTCAAGCCCTCCAGTCGCACCCTCCGTAGAAACATCTGTCGACAATTCTGAAGTTTGAGTGCGGTCCTCCTTATCGCCAACATACGCTATTGGCATCGAAATACGATGCTCCCGCGGCACATCTTAACACCTGGCTGGCGGCACCAATCTCTCCCAGTCATCGAAGAAGCTCCGCAAGAGAACAGACGGTTCTAAATCTGATGTTATTGCCGTGTAAAATGTGTAAAACGGAAGCATGGTGGCTTGCTTGCCAAAACCTCGGAACTTTTTTCAAGCCAGTCTGACACCCTGGGCGTCATCATCAGGATGACCGTTCTTCCCATACGCCGTCTGAAGGGTGAATGTACGAATTCCCTCTGAACAATCTTCCCATCCTCTCACAGCCCCGACGACTCGAAAATTATTACGGTCTTTCACGAAGACGACTACACCGTAAGGTGGACTCGTCAACAGAAACCCAATCAAGAAACCAGTGGCAGTTGTCATACTTGTAGTATAAAGGATTTCTCTTTGTCCCACCGCTGTGCCTGCCACCAGAAGGACCGCGCCGACCACGCTCCGCTATTGGCCCACTGATAGAAGTCGAGGCAGGCCCACCACGATTTCCACTGAACTCGGGCAACTCTCCCTCGACAGCCGTTCCTACAGAGTCAGCTCGTTTGCCAGCACCAACGGATGCCATTTTATCTGCATTTGCCAAGCACGAAGAAGAACACGCTACTCAGCATGATAGTAAGCAGAACGACGTTGATTCGTCCTCAGCGTGTGAAGGGCACGGTCATCATCATCGAAGGCAGATATATCCGTTGTCGAAGATAGTCCATGCGGCGGATACATCCGGTGTTCAACTTTAGCATCGTAAAAGTCATGTGGCTACCTTCACACGCGCACGACAAGGGCAGAGTCCTCATCCTCAGCGGCGGATGAACACCAGATGTATCCGCTGCATGGACTATGACCTCATCCTCAGCGGCGGATGAACACCGGATGTATCCGCTGCATGGACAACGACCTCGAAGTCGTGCTGCTTCTGCAGCGGATACATCCGCCGCTGAGGATAACGGATACATCCGCCGCGGCCCGTCGAACACATCCTCAGCGGCGGATGTATCCGCTGTAGAAGCAGCACGACTTCGAGGTCGTAGTCCATGCAGCGGATACATCCGGTGTTCATCCGCCGCTAACGATGAGGTCGTAGTCCATGTAGCGGATACATCCGGTGTTCATCCGCCGCCGAGAATGAGGACTCTCCCCTTGTAGTGCGCGTGTGAAGGTAGACACATGACTTTTACGATGCTAAAGCTGAACACCGGATGTATCCGCTGCATGGACTACGACCTCGAAGTTGTGCTGCTTCTACAGCGAATACATCCGCCGCTGAGGATCTATTCGACGTGCAGCGGATACATCCGCCGCTGAGGATCTATTCGACGTGCAGCGGATACATCCGCCGCTGAGGATGAGGACTCTTCCCTTGTCGAGCGCACAACACTAGCACACTCATTTTGAGCAATGCCTAAGTCGTGCTGGTTCCTCCAATAGCGGATACATCCGCCGCTGAGGACCAGGTCAGGGTAAGGTCGTGGTCCCCAGCGGCGGTGTGCGCGTGTGAAGGGCACGATCATCATTCTCAAATAGCGGATACATCCGCACCACGTTCGACGGCCTCGATAGCGGATACAACCTCAGCAACGGCCTCGATAGCGGATACATCCGCCGCTCAGGATCATAATCCATGCGGCGGACACATCCGTACCACAAATGAGGACGGAGAGCTCGAAATGTCATGTGCTATTTTGGCTGGGTAAGTCGTGATGCTTTCTACTCTAGCGCATACATCCGCCGCTGCGGATCAAGACCCTGCCTTGACGAGCGCTCAATTCTTTGAGGTCGTCGTCAATTACGCGGATTCGGTGTCCACACATGTGTGGCGGATATATCCGTCGCAGCTACTAAGCGGAAACGTACGTTTTTGTGTGGCGGATATATCCGATGTACACCAAGCGGGGGGAGACCTCCTCGAGGAAATGTCGGAGTACAAAACAGAGAACCAACATGCTCAGTTACTCGGTGGCGGATATATCCGCCACACAGACGTGGACATCAAGCGCGGGTGTTAAACTTGATGGCGAACATGACATTCGACGTCCTTGTCTGTGCACCGGATATATCCGCCATACAGCAAGCGGACGGAAACCTCGAACAGTATGAACCCGCGTATATAACACAGGAACCACACCATGCGCAATTAATACCACGTAACATCACAAAATTGTGTGTTGTTTCTGCGACACAGAGAAAGTTGTTTCCAGCTGGCAACCGACACTCTGCGCCCTCCGCCGTTGGGTGAGCGCGGATCTTTCCCGGGCAACAATTGACTACTGGGCGGATGTGTTCGGCGTGGAGCGGATGTATCCGCCGCATGGAAGATGACCTCGAACTCCTGTGCACCCGTTGGAGGCACAGTCTTCATCCTCAGCGGCGGATGTATCCGCTATCGAGACCATCATCCTCAGGATGGAAACCAACGTTTTGCGCCTTCGGTGTCCTCGCATGTGTGGCGGGTATATCCGCCGCAGCAACTGAGCGGGAACGTAGTGGAGAAAACACTCCGTCTTGAAACATCATTGGCCAGGATCGACGTGTGTGTTTGTGTGGCGGATATATTCGTTGCACACCGAGCGGGCGGATACCTCTTAGAGGAGATGTCAGAGTACAAACCAAAGAAACAACACCCGCGCTTGGTGTCCACGTCTGTGTGGTGGATATATCCGCCACAGAGCATGTTTGTACTCCGACATCTCCTCGTAGAGGTCTCTGCACCCTTGGTGTACAGCGGATATATCCGTCACACAAACAAGCACGTCGATCCTCGGCTGTGTGGCGGATGTACCCACCATATGGCAAGGGCGGATGTTTCCCGAGCAAGAGCTGACCTGAATTCTTTCCGTCGTGGTTTGTGTGGCGGATGTACCCGCCATAGGGTAAGGGCGGATGTTTCCCGAGAAAGAGCTAACCTCAAACCAGAGAAACAACACTCGCTTCGTACTCTGACATCTCCTCTTAGAGGTCTCCGCCCTCTTGGTGTACAACGGATATATCCGCCACACAAACAAGTACGTCGATCCTCGGCTGTGTCTCGAAACATCAATAGCCAGGATCGACGTGCGTGTTTGTGTGGCGGATATATCCGCTGCACACCGAGCGGGCGGATGTCGGAGTACAAACCAGAGAAACAACACCCGCGCTTGGTGTCCACGTCTGTGTGGCGTATATATCCGCCACAGAGTATGTTTGTACTCCGACATCTCCTCTTAGAGGTCTCTGCCCTCTTGGTGTACAGCGGATATATCCACCACACAAACAAGCACGTCGATCCTCGGCTGTGTGGCGGATGTACCCGCCATAGGGTAAGGGCGGATGTTTCCCGAGCAACAACTGACCTGAATTCTTTCCGTCGTCGGCTGTGTGGCGGATGTACCCGCCATAGGGTAAGGGCGGATGTTTCCCGAGCAAGAGCTAACCTCAAACCAGAGAAACAACAACCACGCTTGGTGTCCACGTCTGTGTGGCGGATATATCCGCCACAGAGCATGTTTGTACTATGACATCTCCTCTTAGAGGTCTCCACCCCCTTGGTGTATAGCAGATATATCGCCACACAAACAAGTACTTCGATCCTCGGCTGTGTGGCGGATGTACCCGCCATAGGGTAAGGGCGGATGTTTCCCGAGCAAGAGCTGACCTAAATTCTTTCCGTCGTGGGCTGTGTGGCGGATGTACCCGCCATAGGGTAAGGGCGGATGTTTCCCGAGCAAGAGCTAACCTAAATTCTTTCCGTCGTGAT